AAGAATATAATTATAAAAATAAAGAATTTATGATATAATTATAACAATTTTTATAAAAAAATTGTGTTTTATTTAAAAAATATAGCTAAGATGAAAATTGATATGCAATGTAAAACGAAAAATTTAACAATTAAGCTTTTCCATTCTAGCTTGACATATTTTCTTGCGAGAATAGGTAACGTTTATCATTAGTACTTCTCGCAGTGAATTCCTGATTTAGCTGCATTATCTATTACAGATGGCGCGGTTTTATTAAAACTGATTTGAAAAAAAAAATTCCTAATATATTACCACAATATAATCAGTATAGGCACTCAGCAATAAAATGTGCGTTCGCGTGGATTCATTCGCACAGGCCATGTTATTAGATATCTTTAATGAAATTAAATATGACAAGAATGTATATAGTAGCAGGACACAGACGAGTTACAAATAGTATAAGCACAGTAAGTAGAACTTTTATTATTCGTATATTCGCCCTGTTTTTTTCACTTCTTGAAATGATGAAATGGTCACGTGATGAAACAGATATCAAAGATACCAACACAACGAATTCACTACTAGTTATTATTGTGATGTCATTGACGATGTATTTTCGATCTTGCTTATCGTTGATGTCGCACCGCATTGACACATTGACTCATTGACACTATTGACGCTTCTGCGATTAGAAGGCGTAAGTTGCATGCTCGCTGTCGCCATGACGAGTGCGCAGTGACTATAGTGACACCTATCGGAACCTAACAAACGAGCAGAAAATTTATGCGAACACTCATTTAAACGAGATCGCCTAGGATAAATGCCGTAACAGAGATTAAACATTGGATAAAGGAAAACAACGATTTGTGCGCACGAACTGATAAAAACAACAGCCGAATTATTATTCTTAAAAATTTATAACGGCATTAATTTTTATTATTCTTATAAAAATATGAAAAGTGACTTTTAATTATTTATTTTGATTATTAAAAATACTTTTGTTCAATGCTTTTCATATTCAAAATAAGTAATTTCCAGTATTAAATTGCTCAGATTAGTAAAGTTTTGTAATACATAGATAGCAAGTTAAATTGTTATTTAGTAATATTTAATTATGTTTATTTAATTACAGCTAAATTTTTCAATTGGTTTTCAATTGGTTTCAATCAGCAATTGAGAAATTAAATTTAATATTAAGATCGATAAAACATGTTTATTTATAACTGAATTTAATATTTAATTAGAATGTTTCCATGGAAAAATTTCAAAATATATTTAACTTTGAAATAACACAAAGAAATTAATATGGCAATAAACTATGATTTGCATATTGTCAAAGTCATAATTATACATCATGTGGAAAGATATAATTATTCTATTAATTCTTAGACATAGCTGAAGTTGATTGAATTAATTTTGTTTTTCTATTTGTTTAGATCTCATTGATTTATGCAATAATAATTTTTAATTAATTTTGAATGAAATTGAAAAAATATTTTTAACTTTCAAATTTTTATTACACTTTTTTTATTGTTTATTAAAATCTTAAAATAATATTTAATCCAAATGATGCGCTTTAATTTGCAGTGCCAAATTTAATTGGTCGCATGTAAACACATTGATAATATTTGCATGAATATAATGTTTTTTAAGTTAATAAAAAGAGATAGAAGTTAAGTTGATAAATGATTACAAAATAATTTTTGTTCTTTCCTTGGGAATGTAATTTAAAAAAATATATTATTAATATAAATTGAAAAGAATTTTAAAAATTGCCTTTAAAATCTTATTATTTTAGCTACGTGTTTATAATAATATAAAATCTGATAAATTAATATCACTAGGATTACTACGCTTACAGATGATTTCAGTATTCTACAATATTTGAGGATTTGTAAGTTTAGTATCGAGGAAACTAAGATCAGAATTCAAAACTATCATAAACTGCGGTCCAATATACCAAAATAGTATGCAAAAGATTCATTCCGACCGGAACTGCAGACAATACTCGATTTGGAGTAACGATACGTATCTCAAAACTAAGAGTTTATTGAAGTACAAAAATTTGTGAATGTTTTATTTCTAATTACATTTCTACTCATTATATTTTAATCTACTCATTATATATTTTAATAAAGATGAAATTTAAGTTAAAAATTTGCATGTTAAAATATTAAAAATTAAAATAAAAAGATGTTTTAACTTTTTTGAAGAATATTGAAATATTTTATTTACATTTAGAACGTTCTTTTTTCTAAAGTTTGATAATCAAGGAAGATTGATTTTTTTCGTACATCCTTGTCTGTTTAATCCAAAAATAAGTTAAATAAATTATTGGATGTAATAAAAGTATGATTAAAATAGTGTTACATGATATAATATAATATATAGTTTTCCTTATAATTATAGTTTTCCTTATTTATTTTACGTTTGATAGTCAAATATCTGAAAATCCCATGATTTTAGGAAAAAGTGTATCCGATAAAAATTATAAGATTTACAGACTGCCAAATGATAATGGTATTGATTCATTCGCAAATGAAGCTATGATATTTTCTATGATCATTTTTTAAAGTGGGATTAGATATCATATCTTTGTTGATATGATTTTTCCAAATATTCTAGAAAATATTAAGATACACTTATCAAAAAATCAACAGTTTACGAGATATATTATACTTTATTCTGGTAGATTCTGACATAAAATATAAAATATCTTAAAACTATTAATTTTTTGTAATTGTATTTTAATTGTATTTTAGTATTTTTATGCACAAAATAATATGACAAATAATAGATGTGAAAAGGTACATAGTTGCTTTAAAAAAAATTATGTAATTAATAATATATATCTATTTTTTCTTGAACTGCATGTTTTCTTTACATAAATTGATTGTCTCATTATTATACATAAAAAGTATTAAGGTACGATTATACAAAAATAAATAGTTTACAAAATATTATATATATATATATACTTTATATGATAATAATAGCGAAATAAAATAATAAAATATCTTATAAATTATTGTATTTTTTGAATAATTGTACTTTAACTACTTTTATATCTAGAATAATTAGAA